GATATAGAGATCGAAGCTGCGGCTGAGACGGCGATGCTGCCTCTTCCTCCTCCGACGGCGTCACCTCATCAGGCGTTGGTTGAGAGGCTCAAGGATTACGGTCAGGAAGATGTTTTCGCTCTCTGGGATGAACTCTCACCGGAAGAGCGAGATCTCCTCACAGATATCGAGGTGAATCGGATTACACAATTTCGCCTGAGATTTCGTTTCGATTTCTTTGATTATGCGTTGCATTGTACTGAAATTGGTTAGTGGTATTTTTCGATTTTCGCATTTGCTTAGATTATTTAAGTGTGATTGCGTTATTGTCTTCCAGAATTTGGATCTTCCAAGAATAGATCGGATCATCAGATGCTCACTTCAATCTCAAGGTAAATATCATGTATCTTCCTGGAATCAAATTGTTGCAGCCTCGTGACATGCATATATAGCTCCATAGATTTTTGATTTTCTTTTCATGGTGATTTGACCTGAGCTCTGACTTCAGGGTTGCCAGTGGCGGCAATAGAGGCGGTGCCGGAGGATTGTGTGTCGACGGTGGAGCAAAGAACAAAGGAAGATAGAGAAAAATGGTGGAATTTGGGATTGAGGAAGATCTATGAAGGGAAATTGGGTGTGGTGCTTTTATCTCGTGGACAGGTACTTTAATCATTCATTATCCCTTTCCAGTTTTTCTTTTATTGGGTTTTGTGTTGCTTTGGAAATAAAACATTGATCTGGCTCTGGGTTTTACCTTTTCTTGGATTATTGGTTCTAAGTTTGAATGGTTTTTTTTGCTGAAATGATTTTGGAATAATGCTTGCTACCTACTCAAATAATGGATTTATAGATGTCTTTCACTTAAAATTGCTAAAGCTGGAGCCTGAAAAGGCTTTTTATGAGTACTTTAAAAATTGAACCTGTCGGTGCCTTCTACATATCTGAGCACCTAATTATGAGAAAGAATGGTTTTCACGTGACCTGGAAGATGCCTTATAAGGATCCTGTAATCTTCTTCCCCCTTACACTGGGTTGTTTCGTGTCATGTAAAGATTTGAATTGTTAGTTGATCATTTACTTGAGCATTTAATACCTTGAGAATATCCATATGGGATTATTGCTTTCTTATGGGTTATCTCTACCAGCCACTGTATGAGGAGATGGCCCATTGAACAAGATTAAGAGGGGAATAACTAGTTTCGAATGGATTTTGATTGCCTCTCCGATCCACATTGTAGTGTTTATTAGTACATTTGTTGACAGATTTGCTCATGAAATGATCTGGTTACAAAAATTATTGCAGGGAACAAGACTTGGAAGTTCAGATCCGAAAGGGTGTTATAGTGAGTAGTTCTCATTACCGTTCTGTGTTTGATGTCCGTCTTCAACACGTTGTTGCAAATTGCCTTCCCAAACTTAGATTTGCCTGTTTTAGCAAATGCAAGATTTTATAACATGATACGGTTTATGTTACCTATATCTTTGGTTACTTTACCATTAATAGATTTATCATCTCAGATATCGGACTGCCATCTGGGAAGTCACTTTTTCAGATTCAAGCTGAGAGGATCTTGTGTGTCCAAAGGCTTGCTGCTCAGGCAATGAATGAAGGTAACGTTCACAACTCTATATTCCATTCACCATACAACTATATTATTCTCCACACCTTGATCATATAATATTTTTGCCTGCAGCAGGTCCAACTCGCCCAGTTACAATACAGTGGTATATAATGACCAGTCCATATACTCATGAACCAACACAAAAATTCTTTGAGAGTCACAAGTATTTTGGCCTTGAGTCAGATCAAGTAAGAGGGTTCTTAGTTGTATAGTTTCCTTCATGTCTTTTGCTTTTTCCATCTTATGCGGGACAAATACTGATCGTCCTCTCTATAGGTCACCTTTTTCCAACAAGGAACCCTACCATGCATTTCAAAGGATGGAAAGTTTATCATGGAGACACCTTTCAGTGTATGTATCTTCAAAGCAAACGGAAATAAATTTTGAGGTTTATGGTAAGTTATTTTTTATTATTATGATACTAGCTTTATGAGTTTCATTCTATGTGACTAGCTAGCCAAGGCTCCGGATGGAAACGGGGGAGTTTACACAGGTATATCGTCTAATTTCTTCTCCTCTAGTTATCAGAAATTTGTATTTCAGCATTTTCTGATTCTGATCTGAACAGTATCCCTGGATCCGATGCCTAAATGGAGAAAAGTAGCGTACGGAGGTATGCAAATCGGTTATGACGACAATTACACAGACGAATCATTCCTTGAAGAAATGGTAATGAACGCAAACGTCGTGAGGCGTGATTTGCTTAAGGTGATGAAAGACTCCGTCTCCATTACTCAATACCTCTGCATCGTTGCTCTTGTTGTCTTGGTTTGGGTCCATACTCTTGGTTCATCTTTAGATGAGAACTCGCTTTTGCTACTCGATCTCTCACTCTTAGCTTCTGGGTTCTTAGTTCTTCTCTTAACCGAAGAAAAAATGTTATCTTTGAGTCTCCTCTTGCGTTACGTCGTCAACATTTCCTTCTTCACCACTGGACTCTATATCTTAGCTCCGATTTACCAGACGCTCACGCGTTCGATCAGCTCAGATTCGATATGGGCAGTCACGGTTTCTCTCCTTTTGCTACATCTCTTCTTGCACGATTACTCTGGTTCCACCATTAGAGCTCCAGGGGCATTGAAAAACCCGAATTTGATGAGTTGTATATCTCTCAATGCTTCCATTGTAGCATCGGTTTTTGTCGCCTCGCGACTTCCTTCGAGGCTCCATGTTTTTGCGGTGATGCTCTTCTCACTCCAAGTCTTCCTCTTTGCGCCTCTTGTCACTTACTGCATCAAGAAATTCTCGTTTGGGTTGCATCTTCTCTTCTCGTTTGCTTTGATGGGTTTGACGCTGTACTCGGTTTATGCCCTGCATAGACTGTTGTTTGTTCTGTTTCTTGTTCTGGTTGTTTTTGTCAATGTTGTGTGCCCTTATTGGCTCATTAGGATGCAAGAGTACAAGTTTGAGATCAATGGTCCTTGGGATGAAGCCAAACTTTGTTTTGACATTACTGATTGATAATAACTCTTTGGAATTTGTTAATGAAATCTTGACTTCTTGTTGGTATGATCTTGCTATGAAATTGTATTCATTTGAAATTTTGTAATAGTAAAACATAGAGGATTTGTATCTTGAGTATATATTAAAAATATCGTTTCTTATGAACAATATTTTATCTTAGAGAATGAATATAAAATAGTTCTTTATACTTTTACTGACTTTTATTATGTTTTTTTGCTAATACAATTGCGTTAAAACTCCAACTGTTTGCAAGTATATCTACTTTCTCTTATTACAAATAAGCATCCCAAAATTCACAATCGTTGCTTTCTCTTCCTCTCAATTAATTGCTTCGCCGATCTTCTTCTCAGACTAATCGTTGCTTTCGCATCTCTCGCTCGAGGTCTATTTGAGATTGCGGTGAAGTAGGAACCCTAATTTGTTGTCGTGCATAAAATTCTTATTCAGTACAACATAAATTTATCAACATAACTAAGATTTCACTATTGCATAAAATTCTTCACATACCACTCACTAGTGCATAAGATTTCACTATTGCATAAATTTCTTAACATAAATTTATTAGTCACACCGTAAGTTATCCCTTGTCACAATTTCGCTAAAAAATATAGTAAAATTAAATAACATTAACGTTTAATAAAACTGAACAACACGTGAATATTTTTTGAAAATTACATAATAATTGATTAATAAACAGAAGATTAAAAGAAAAAACAAGAAACCATAGGATTGTAAAGAAACATTGTGTCGAAGCCCATGTAAATTCATTTCTTTGGTTTCAGTTTTGTTCTTTTATAGAAAAGACTCTGATCAGAACACTCTCAGAATTGTCTTAAGCACCAATTTTTCTTCTTTTTCTTCCTCTTGTTTCATTTGAGTTTGATGATGGCAATGTTTTGACTGATTCAGATTCAATGTTAATTTGAATTCAAAGTCGATCTTCTCTTTGTGGCCCAGATGGCCAGATTTCAATTTTTGATAAATTGATGATATATACTCCATTTTTTGTTAGATATTTTACACATATTAGAAAAATAAATTTATATTTAATAATAAATAATAAAGTTATTATTTTTGCATTAAACAATTTTCCATAATTTTAATCAATAACAATTTAACAAAAGAAAATTTTAAAAATTTAAAACATCAATTCAAAAAACGAAAATGTATCTAAATAAAGATTAAAAACTTATGAGTAAAATATATGATGTCTCTTATATTAGGTTTTAAAATATACTCCCTCTGTATCAAATTAGATGATTTTCTAGAGGTTTGTTTTTTATCAAATTATATGATTTTTTGAGTTTTTAAGATAAAATTAAATGCATTTTTATTTATTTTGACTATTTGTATTTTGCAATTTGATTTACTATTGGTTGAATTGTATTTAATTGAATGATAAATGATGTTTTAATTTAGAAAAATTAAAAAAAATTTAATTTATGTGTAACAACTTTAAAAATTATTTAAAATGATAGAGAGAGAATATATATAAAGATGCAAATGGTTGCATTGGTTTGCGATTCTCGTGGAGGACATAGCACGATCGTGGAGGACATAGCACGATGAGGAGACAGTGGGATATGCTTTTTCAATCATTCACTCCCAAATTATTTATCTCTTTTTTTTATTTGATATTTATTGGGTTTTTTGTGCTTTTTTTTCTTCTTCTAAATGTTCATTAATTAAAAGCTTTAATCCAAATTGTTCATCTTTTGTTTCACAGAAAACACATTAAGAGAGAATTTTGCTACAGAGTCGGCCAACAAATTGACTTCTCTTAGAATAAAGATGAAAGAAACATCGATAAATTGAGAAGAAAGCTTGGAGATATCATGAAGAATCCCATAAATTTTCGATAAATGTGGTCCACTTGTGAGGGCGCGGACGATTTGGTGCGAATCTGAGGTGATACAGAGCTTCTTGAAGCCTAGCTCGTTTGCTTGAGTGAGCGCCGATCGGATGGCTAAAGCCTCTGCCGCTAAGGTTGAGTTCACTAAATTTATCGCTTTTTTTTTGAATGAATGTAAAATTATATTCAATCAAGAGATTTTTTACAATAACTACATCGAGTGTTTGTAATAAGTTGATAAAGAAGATCGAAAAAGTTGTTAGAACAAAAGACAAATTATGGTTTGGTTGGACTTCTAACGGGTCGTAAGCCACCGTTCCATGACCTCCGTATAGGCGTTGTTCCCCGCGTTTCGGATTGAGTTGATACAATTCTTGACGGTTTTGTCGATGAGCTTTATAAAAGACTGTGGCGGCTGGGCAGTTGCTCCATGTCTCCGTTGATTCCTCTCATGCCATATCTGATAAACAGTTGCTTGAAAAGCATACCGTAGCAAAAATAGGTCGTTTTTATGTCTAGGAGTCGTGAGAAGACTCACAAGTTGGTCCCAAACATGAGTGTAATCTGGTCCTAGGAGTTTTGAGATGATCCCCTCCCATATGACCCTAGAGACAGGACAATCAAAGAACAAATGGTAGCGTGATTCTTCGGTATTTCGACAAAAAATGCACCCAACAATCTACCCAGAAATTTATCGCTTTTGATCCCTGTGCTATGATCTCTTTTTGGGTAGATTCAAAGATCCAGCCCATACCTGCTGCAGATGTGTCTTCTCGCGATGCTCCTTCTGTGTAGCATCTGACAGAATCATTAGGAAAGTCTAGTTTCCATTTGCGATGTTGTGTAGGTAATAACGCTTGCTTAGCATCTGATGGAATCATCATATTTTTTGAGCTTTTATGTTTGAAATCATTTGTTTTAAGTGAGAGAAATTGAAACTTTTATTAACACTTCTTTTCATCGTATTGGAAAAAAACTTATTATTTGTTTGATTCATTCATAATAATAA